TTTCCGATCGTAGTTGCTTTCATTTTGCCAGCAGCCGATATAACGTTGTTTTGGCAAAAATTTAGCCGGCCAGCTTCCCAACGAGAACCTTTCAAGTCCCAGTAATTTTGCATGCAGCGGATCTACTGCTGGCGCTGTAGCCTCACCGGCACACTGCCAGCTCGCTAGCTTGCCACCACAGACCATTTGTGTTCCGCCAATAGTGTGGCGGAAGGTTTGTGAAAATTGATCATATTCGCATTATGATATTAACATTGTATGTTTGAGCTTAAATAACTTGTGTAATTAGTTGTCATTATCTGTTTTTAGGAAAATTGCTACTGGTTCTTCAGAAATTGCCCCTTGTTCTGGTCAAATTCTGTGGGCAAGGAGCAACTTTTAAAAATAAATTGCCCCTTGGTCCTGGCCGCTTATTCAAGGCTTGCTTGTACCATATCTGTTCAAAGAGGGCAGCAATACTCTGATATATATATATACATGCATATATTGAGTCTACCTGCCCAATTAACCCACTGACTACTCAATCCTCTCATTGCCCTAGGCCTGACATAAGAACCACTTGGTTTCTAGAAGACCGGTTAAGATGTACATATATTATGTAGAAAAACATTTTGACACGAAGAAATTATTGTTTGTTTATGTTGTATTATACCTTACATGTATATGTTCTTTGTTATTCAGTTATATTTTATTTGGAAAAAATGCAGAAATCAAATCAAATCAACAACAAAAAATAACCCAAAGGCAAATTGGAAGTAACATGAAATTCTTCAAATTGGTAGATTATCTATCACTGCTTTACAATAACTGGAAAGTGAATCATACATGCACATCCTATCTAGATTAATTAAAACTGACAGAAAAGAGAGCTAGAACAAGAGTACGAATGAAACAGAAAACATTTGTGAGAGACAAACAAACAGATACAAACTTAAAGAGGAAAGAAATTGAAAAAATATATACAAGTGCGTCCCAGAAAAAACAAAACCAAGATTTATCGATGTTTTATCATAAATTAATCACAATTATAATTAATGACACATATTTGTAAAGCTTAAATCCTCTTCGATGCAACTCATATGATGTATATTTCATGCATGAGTGATTAAAACAATTTAAAAGAAGGGTATCAAAAAGTCATTTGGCAAAGGGTATCTGAATTTCAAGTAGAAAATCACATTTCCAGAAAGTTTATTGTTTGCCCTTTCATATGACACCTCAATCAGAAAAAATGAGCAAGGAATAACAAAGTTCCGTTTGTTTAAGTAATGCTTGCATTTCCATAATTTTATTAAACAAATTTGTTTTCACTGGCTGCCTGTGGTAGCAACAAACAAGAGTTGACAAAGGACTTTATGAAGTCTGCATGAAGTCTTTTGTCTTCTTCGTTGTTAGGGCAGGCAGCCAATGGAACGGCTTCATTTAATAAAACAATTTGAAGAAAGGGTACCAAAAAGTCATTTGGCAAATGGTATCTGAATTTCAAAGAGACAATCACATTTCCAGAAAGTTCATTTTCTGCCCTTTCATAATTTCTAAAATTTTATTAGACAAATCCTTTTTTCGATTTTTCTGGGACGCACTGTGTAGAGAGAGAGAGAGAGAGAGAGAGAGGGAAGGAGGAAGAGGAGAAGTAGGAGTCATGGACTTACATAAATAGTTAGAAATTCAAAAAAAGGTAACCCGCTGAGTGGATGCATTGGTTTTTTACAAAATCTTTCTATTCATTCTGATTTCATAATGCATAGTGATTTTAATGACTGCATTACAAAAGAGTTTGCATGCAAAGTAGCAGTGAAGAAAATGCTGTTCTCCCAATAACTGTTTAATCATGAGTTTGTATGTCTGCTTTATTAACAATGATATGTGCAATCAACTGTAACTCCTTCTCACTTCGACCCCCCCCCCCCCCTTTTGCCTTTCTTTCTCTCTCTCTCTCTCTCTCTCTCTCTCTCTTTCCCTCTCTCTACCTATCATTCTTCTCTTCTCTTTGCTATACTTTTGCATCACCAGGTGCATCCTATTTTATGTATCTTGCTCGTACATCTACTTAATTGTCAGGGCTCTCAAAGCAATAAAGCTTTGCGTATCTTGGAGCCCTGGCGAGTAATGTAAACTGATGTTATTTTATATTCAGAGCTGAAAATAAAGAAATGAAATGAAAGACTGTAATGTATCAATTTTCCAGTAAAGCACCAGTCAAAATGTAAACCAAGGGGAGAGAAAGAGATGTGACAAAGGCAATATTCTATATCAATGTGGTTTGCTGATAGAAATCACCTTATAAATGGGGGCTTTAACAACTGTTTGCTAATAAAAGCAATTGTGAAACAATTCTACATCAAATAACTGTTGTTTGTTTAAAAGATATGTCACAATGTAAAAAGGGTCTCAACAATTGTTTGCCAACAATAGCAACAATAACAAAAGAAGAGGGAGAGAGAAAGAGCGAAGGGGCTAAAGGAGAAGAATGAGTCATGGTCTTACATAAATTGTTTAGAAATTCAAATAAAGGTAACCCACTGAATGTATGCATTGGGTTTTTTTCAAAATCTTTCTATTCATTCTGATTTCATAATGAAGAGGAGTGTTTTGTAAAGACTGCATTACAAAGACTGTAATGTATCAATTTTCCAGTAAAGCACCTGTCAAAATGTAGGCCAAGGGGAGAGAAAGAGATGTGACAAAGGCAATATATTGTATCATTGTGGTGTGCTGAAAGAAATAGCCCCCTTATAAATGGGGGCTTTAACAACTGTTACATGCAACTTTTACATGCAATAGCAATTGTAAGACAATTCTACATTGAATAACTTATCATTGTTCTTTGCTTAAAAGATATATCACAATCAGGGCTCAAATTAATTTTTTGTCCACGGGGGCTCTTTCAAAAATAAAAGAGCCCCTGTGAGCCTTCTCACGGCGGCTCTTTTAGTATTGACAGGGGCTCTTTTTTAAATACAAATTTCCATTGAATTGGTACCCATGATACTCCTAAATTCTTTGCTATTTCATCATTATCATTAATAGTCGGCATTATTTCCCTCTTAACTTTACAAGTTATAACATGCAGATAATGGTCAGATCTCCCTCTGTACAAAATTTCTGGTCCAAGCCCGTATACATTTGCCTCCTTGCCAACAGGTTTCCTTTTAAAAAATTTAGCTTTCTGTTGATTTACTGGTGGAGGTTCATTATTTGCTGGTCTTTTGGAATCACCAGATATCAGAGGATTCATGATTTTTACAACGAAAAAAAAACTTCTCCACGTTTCGGTCCTTGCGCGATCGCCTCTAGCACCAGCAGATATGGGGCGGCAGCGTGCACACCAGTATACTACCGTGCAGCTAGTTTAGCCACTGCTGACTGCCGCAAGTCACTGCGAGCTTCCGTTGTTTGTATCCGTAATACCCATAGAGATGTGGAGATGGGAGATATAGCGCAATCTTGTGGCGAAAAAGCGTTTTATTTCTTTATATGGCAGCCTCTAAACACCAAAAATTCGAGCGAGAAATCCTGCACGGAGTGC